TACATGTGGATCGGATCATACATACATGTGGATCGGATCATATATACATGTGGATCAGAGCATACATACATGTGGATCAGAGCATACATAATGTGGATCGGATCATATATACATGTGGATCAGAGCATATATACATGTGAGTGAATCAAAGCATATATACATGTGGATCAGATCATATGTACATGTGAATCAAAGCATATATACATGTGGATTAGATCCCATATACTAAGGGGGAAAAGTAACTGTACAGAACATAAAATAAAAGTTATTTGAAAAGTTACAAATCATATATACATGTAAAACAGACAACACTTGCAAACATCATATACACGTGTGAAACAAATGATATATATACATTTAGACCAGAAAACATTATTATCCACACGAAAAATCATATGTCCATGTTGACCAGATAACATATATACATTTACACCTGATATCATATGAATATTAATATTCAGACCAGAAACATATGTATGCACAGGGGGATATGCATTCAATTTGTATCTATATGAAATAAGGATAACATAGTCAAAATTATTCATCCCTCTCCTTACAGTGCTGGAAGAGTGCATGTAGAGATGACCAAAAGGAGAAGAATTTGTCAACACCACAAGAGGAGGAATAAACATATTTTGTAATGTCGTAATACTTAATTATCTCCCTTTTCACATGACTGATAAAGGGTACAGTTGTATTTCCGCTGTGTCTAAAGATAACTTGCTTTACAACAAGTATTATGGCATTAATTGGATTATTATTTTTTCCTCTAATTCCAAGTAAAACATTCTGTTTTGTGAAATATAACGGAATATTCAAGTCAGTTAAGAGCCATGACTGGAGGTTTTTCCAGATATCTTGAACAATTTCACAGTCCCAAAATAGATAGGTAATTGATTCCATGTTATATTTACAGAAACTACAAATGGGAGAGTCTATATACGTGATCTTAAACAAAAACTGTTTTGTAGGTAGAATATTATGGATAATTCTGTATTGTAACCATCTTAGATCAGTGCTATAGGTGCACTTCCATGGGATAATATTAAATATTTCCCAGTCCTTTGGTAGGAGATTTAGATTCAAACTATCCCAGTTTCTATTATAGTGTTCTGTTTTAAATTTAGAGCATAGGAGTGTTTCATATAAATATTTTCTACCTTTTTCACTGAATTTTAGTTTGGACAAATTAAAAGGGTATGTCGGTTTAATGCTCAGAGTTGAAAAATCTGAAATATTTACCTTTAACATATATGTAATAACTGCTTGTTTGACCCCTTCAAAGGTCAGGAAATTTGTTCTGAGTTTATATAGATCTATAAAGTCATCAAAGTATAGAAATTTCCCTTCTGCTGTCAACATGTCAGATACAAACATAACTCCCTTGTTATACCAACATTTATACAGAATAGGTTTGTTATCAACCAATATGTCATCATTACACCAGATAGACTGTGACTGGATTTCAAATTCACTTGTAATAGTATCTTTTTGCTTAGATGTGAACCAAGCCCAAGCAAGTAACACATCCTTCCAAAAATGATTAGTTAAGGTTGGAGTAACAACATTTTTAATATAATTGCTGTCTGCAGACCATAGATCAATTTTACATGTTATCTTTCTAAGAAAAAGATAGTCCCACCTATTTGATTTCTGTAATAGTTTTCTTACCTATCCAAGCTTTTGGGCCGCAATTGTCGCTTTGATTTTTGGTACCTTTAATCCACCATGTTTAGGGAGAGATGTAACAATGTCCGTTTTAACTTTGTCAGACAAGACAAGACAATCGTTTATTGTATTTTAGGCCACCGGCCCTTATACAATCGAGTTACATGCATTAAGACATGGTTAACTGTAAGTGCTCGTTACGACGAATAAATGCATATTTAACATAGAGAGCTAGATTACGTAGAGTGGATTCATTATTAGTTGTTAATAAACTGGTAAAAGCTATCAGTGGTGGTTCCGACAGATAACGTTCTGGGATATACATGTAACGTAAATCTTCATAAAATGGACAGTCAAGGGTAAAATGTAGTTCATCTTCTACTGAAGAATTACATAAAGGACAAGATCTTTCAGATTTTGGGATGGACAGTTTTCTGCCTCTATTTACCATTAAGTCCAACAAACCTGTCCTATATTTGACAAATATATTTCTGTTACACTTAAAAGTAAGTTTAGATAAATACAGTTCAGGTTGTAATAGGTTTTTAAATGTTCTATATAATTCGTAACGAGAGCTACTTTCTAGAGTGAAATGCCATTCCTGATGAAACATATTTACCGCTCGATCACGAAATTCTTTTAAAAACATAAAGACATCGCCCACACCCTGGCTTATCCATATAAAGCCATATCCATTAGAAAACAAAAGATTTCTAATATGTGATGCCCAAGATATTTTACCCATATTATCTAGATGAACCATCATATTATAAGATATTTTTGGTAGACGACTTTCATGCATTAACAGAATCTTAAACCAGTATTTAAGACATCGTATTTGCGTAAACCATACAATTTGGAGTAGCGGATCCAACACATAAAAACTTCTTGCAAGCCATAAGATGTAATCTCTCCAAGTAATCGTAGCGTTGAAATCCCCACACTTCCGATCCATATAATAAAATGTGTTGTATCTAGGCATCAAACAGTTTGAAAAATATATTTGGAGTTAAAATTCCACATTCATGTGAGATAGATAAAATTGAAATCATTGCTTTCTTTGCACGTAGGAACAAGTCATAGACACAACTTTTTAAACTCATCGTATTTGAAAAAATATCCCCAGATATTTGCATTGATTAACAATAGCAACAGATTTTCCGTGAAGAAACCATTTCTCCTTAGATGCAACAGCGCCACCCCTTCTGAATATGACTATTTTAGTTTTGTCTAAATTTACGGATAGTTTCCAGTTTTCAGAATAACTTTCTAAAATATTTAGCTGATTTTGCAAACCAATAATAGTTTCAGATATCAAAATGACATCGTCTGCAAATAGAAGCATAAACAGTTCTATCATATCTGGGAACATCTGTACACCATGTTTACCTTTTTGCATAACCTCATAATAAAATTCGTTTATGAAGAATGAGAACAAAATCGGACTTACAATGCATCCTTGTCGTAGTCCCATTGGGCAGTCAAAATAATCTGTTACACCAGAACCACATCGTACACAAGATTTTAAATTTGAATACATTGCTATTAACATAGTATACATTTTCCCGCTTAAACCGGCATTACGTAAGCAATACCATAATTTGTGTCTATCTACAGAATCGAATGCTTTCTTAAAATCGACAACTTTAACTTTGTCTGGTTTTCCTTTCCAAATACATCTAAAACATAGCTTTTGAAGCTTATCTAAGACATGATCTGGAGGATTTGGGAGTGAAGCAAATAGGTGATTTAATTTTGGAAGCAGGAGTGATTTCAAAACTGTGTTTCTTCCAAAGGGAGTGAGTGTTCGTGCTGACCAGGAATTCATTTCTTCCGTAATTTGAGACAATTTATCAGAAGCTTTTCCCTATGTTTGAAAATGTACAAGTCTTTTACCTAAGTTCATTTTCATAGGAGGTATATGTAAGGTAGACATACATTAGGCTACAATGTGTCAGTTATTTACAAAGTAACAGCAAACGAAGGTAGCAGTTAATTTTCTTATACTTGCCAGGTGTGAAAAGTAGGCCAGTTGATAATTGTCTCAGAAGACCGGATGAGGAATTACACACATGCTTCAAAAATAGTATGTAAAATCCCACTAAAAAATGCAGTGTCATTTAAACTGGGGTGAAGGGCTACGTCACAAAGAATAGAAAGCCACAACAGAACGATGAATGGGAGGTTGACAGATTTACCAGGTCAGGGTGACCTCCACACATTACGCTCCACTGGCTGTGGGGCTGATTGATATCTGCAGCCGACGTATTGAAAGATTCGTTCACAAGCTGATCTCTTAATAGCTTCAACGCATGACACTTAAAATGAAGCTGACAAAGGACTAGGTAGGGTTACGGCCTTCTTTTGTGACAACAGCATGTGCATAATTTTAGAACTGAATAAAACTGTTATAACAGTTATAAGGGCTTCGATGATATCTAGACATAATTTCATTTGAACAATTATATGTTTAGGATTATCTTAACACTAAATGTGTGAGTAATGGTAAAATGTGTCAGAGGAGGATTTCGGGATGTGTCTTTTTGTCTGATAGTTGAAATATAATATAGAAAGCCTATGATCCAAACTGATTTTGAACCATGTGTAGAAAACACAGGTCAAACATATGGTTAAAATGCCTGGTCATACATGGGCTTTTTGCACGCCATATACACATTCAAACCATGTCATAAATCCAAACCTGACAACTGTAAGAAAATATGTTAGTTATCAGTCATATGAACATGAGTCATAATTTACAATCAACTCAAAGTTTTCACATTTCCAGAGATAAATTTTTTTTTGAAAATGTTACCACTTTTGTGGGCTTTGTGGAATATATTATTTATACCTGCTTCATTACAAATGTACGGGATTGTGTCTGTCACACTCTAAAACAAGTGTATAGCTGTCAGCATATAAGTTACATTTCAGAAATGGCAGGCTAGTTTATTTATATACAATTACAAGAAGTGCTTGTTGATTACTACAAATGAAATATATAAATGTATAATTTTAGCAACAAAAAGCACTGTTCTAATACAAAAAACACGAAGAATCCATCTGATGGGAAATTTATAGAATAAATATCATCAAAATTATACAACATGTAACTTCAATATATATTAAATGCATTTTGAACAAACCACCACACATAAACATAATAATAAATTTGGTTTGTTTCGGAAATGATAAAACACATAATAGTATAAACCAGTGGGAATAATACTATCCAAAGTTTTCAAAGTTATTACATCTTAATATTGAATGCATATAACCCGTTTTCCAAACTATAACGGTGATAGTTGTATTTCAACAAACAAAAAAATGTATACCTAATTAGATGTATATAATTAATATCACTAATCTCTATACAAGTACAGTAAGACAATCCATTTCTTGTGTCCCATGCCGTGATGTTGCTGGAATATTGCTAAAAGCGGCGTAAAACCAAACTCAGTCAGTCAGTAAGACAATCAGTGCTGTGAAATTCAATTGACTGTTTGTGACACCAAATAACAAGACATGTTGAATGTTTACATCATTGTAATAACGAATTTGATGAGAGATGCGGCTCCGAGGTATCAGGTAAATCCACTGCTGAGGTAGTAACGTTTTTCTAATAATAATGATTAGATTGTACATGGAGGATCTGTTGATATGGTGCTCATTGGCGGAAGGTGGACAAACACATATGCACTGATCTGACATTCATTGTTGGAATATGAGCTTAGTTAAGGTCACGTAAGACCATCGCTTTAACAAAAACAAAGAAAAGAAACTTGTATTCGGTTCTATGGTACTGTCGATATCAACATTCACCATCTGTTCACATCCTTGAACTGACTGTCATTTCCAGAAGCACAAGATCTTGATGTATATCAGGTCTGATGTCTCGCTGATATGTCTGAAGATTCCTGGCACCAGGGCCCAATGCAGGAATTTCAGGAACTTGAGGTAAAATCACTGCAAAGGTATCTACACCATTGGTATCACGATCAGGTGCCCCTATCAATTTACTGTACTTGCTACACAAAAGGACCATAAACTTTTTCACACATTCATTTTCTGTGTTAAAACCACAAGTCTCTGCAATCAAGTTTGCCTCTTTGGCAAATCCATATGCAGTCGGCATGTCATCTCCATGGTAACTGATGACTGCCCTGGCAAAACAGAGAAACATTGAATGTCGGTTGTACAGACCCTTGGTATCAACATGTCTCAAACACTGTTCTGCATTTTGGATATCTCCTGAGCTGACTTGACATGGTACAAGTCCCAGGAAACAACCTATCCCAAGAAAAGAAAAAGCCATTTTCAGAAGGAACATTTGGGTGTAGTCCTCTTTGATATGAGATGCGGCATTGGCGAAATGGACATCAATTGCTTCATTACAATTGTTAATGAGGTGTTGTTTTATTTCCTCACTCGGATGAATTTCATACCACTGAAGAAGCAGGTTTGTTTCAATGTAGACAACTGCGCCGGTGTCTTTGCAAGGTTGGATCAACTCTGCTTGGGACCGAGTAGATCGGATCAAATGTAGAGCCTGAATCAGATTCCCTTGCATGGCCAATACTGACGCTCTCCGTGCATTTAACATCATCTGACCTGCATGTGGGTGTGTAAGACGGTTGACCAGGTCGTTCATTAGAGACAGCGTGTCGGTTTGGTCCACATGGTTCTGATGAAAGACTCTCAGTCTGGCGGTTTCAGCGTCCAACATATGAAACAGTACATCGGGATCATTTCGGTAGTTGCATCTCATCCAAGTCACAACCTCATCAAACTGGAGACGCCCACTGTGACTCTTTCCGTCGCTTGACAATATTCTTAGTTTGAAATTGATATTAGTGAGAGTAATATGCTTCCCTGTCATGATATCAGTTCTTGAAGGATGCTTCGGAAGAGAGAGGAGTCCCTCTTCAGAAGTAGTCGTGACATCCATTTCAGAACATTCTCTTAAAGTGACACTGTCTGTCTCTTCACCACCCTCCAAACTGACTTCCAATTCCATGTGTATACTAGCCAGACCTTTATCGACAACGTATTTATGTTGCTCTCCATATATTTGCTTCCTACAGGGCAACACCTTCTCACACATTAAGGTGACATCCATTTCTGTTGAGGGGACACCTTCAGTCAGCTCCACACCTTCCCTACCAACTTCATAGGCCAAGTGATTATCAGGCAGGACTTTATTGTCTCCACTATAGTCATATCTTCCTCTGAATGTTTCTAACCGTTCAATTTCATTTTTCATCTTCATGGCCAGCTTTGTGTGGCTGTTTTCATATGACAGCGCCTCTATGAATTCAGGAATATGTTCTTTCCTTTTCACTACATCCAACAACTGTTTGGATTGTTCCTTCCTGTCCTTGAATTCGTGTATGCGTTCATAAACAAGATCCGTCAAACAGCTTCTTTCATATAGAAAGTCCAGAACATACTCAGTTGGATCAAGACGAGACACCAGTTCATCATACAGATTGTCAAAAGCCTTTTCCAAAACTGCCATCGTGAAGGAGGAGTCAGTAAAATGTATTCACCCCATATTTGATTCGTGTATCAAATTCGTAAGTCATCATGACCCATGTACTTGTAGTTAATTTAGCTAGTTGTACGGACGCGGTACACAGCTGTTGCACGATATTTATCGGAATTTATCATCCTTTCATTTCCCCAACGCTCAATCATATTGCTGGTTCACTGACAAACACATTTACACACTTTGGGGGATACGTTTCATGTATTGCTATTATTCTAACAACAGAACATGGCTGTCCAGCCCATCCTTGTCACAACCAATTAATGAAGTGGCCTTTCATCATCCACTTCCTCATCTTCTTCCTCCAAGGTTGACTGGTCAAGTGCATCACATTCACGCCGTGTCAATCTGAAATACAAACACATTCACTTTTCATTCTTATTCAAAGGGTCATACAAAAAGGGAGGCAAGGAAAAGGATTTTGCGAACATTTACACTAAATGAGAATGGGCTTCAGACCAGATCATGCATGACTGGAAAAACCTGGAGTCACTAGCATGGCCCTGTCACTAGCATAGTACTCAATTTCCGTAACAAATTTTATCATTATCATTTTCTATTATTTATTTCTCTTTGTAAAAGCCAAAAAGAACATTGTCATAAGTATAAAGCATTCCAACTAAAAACAGAGTCCATTGTACATTAGCGAGTGTTTACGACTTGTGAATCACAACCAAAAATCCAAATCGTTAGTTATTCACATATCCGACAAATTTGTCGTTACCTGTATCTCAAATACACTGGGAATGACTAGGGATAACTAGTCTCGGCTGAAACCTACAAGGTAAACATTCTCAGTGCCATAATATTAAAATTATGGTCGGTGAAGGAGAAAGAGCTTGATTGGGAAACATTGTGAATGGTCAGCCTCCATTCAACAGGATGTTACGACACAAGACAGACACGTAATTATACAGACAAGTATGTGCTGTAGCTCAGGTAGAAACAAATTACTTTCATATTTCAACAGCATTCAGTGACTTACTTGAGGTTGGTAGCCTGGCACTCTACAGCATGCCTCAAAGATGGTACATCGCAATATGTACACCAGTCTCACTCACTTGTGTTGCAGTCACGTGGATATGATGTAATGCTAGGATGTTACGGGACGGATTGCTCCTTAAAATAGACTCGCTCTGTGGTGTCATATCCGGACCGAATAACATGTAGCCTGCGGGGCGGGTTGTATCATACAATGATGTTTAGTGTTTCCTTGGTCTATTACAGGTGATCAGCTGTTTGTTGCTGTCATTTATCGTAGGATTGACGCACTGTCTCATTATACGATCGGAATTTTGAGTCATATGAATCGATAACCATCTTAATGCGCTTCTTCGATACATATGTTTTGAACAAAAACAACGGTAACATATCTTGTAAAAAGAACTTACTGGTGAAGTCAGATTTCTATGAGTGTTGTGGCGTCCCTTATGTTTAGAACCCATTGACCTCTATAGTAATGACGAGGGCATATATTTAGACCATTTAAATGCTTAGTTGCTTTCAATTCTGTGATGCAAGACATACCTTGATGAGATGAATATGTTGAAATATATCAGCAGGTACGTATTGAGAGTGTTACTGTTCTATTTTGCAGATGTGTATTTGCATTGCAAAGACTTTGACTGAGTGTGAACTTTATTCATTGAAGCCTGCTAGCTTGTTCTACCGTCAGTACCGAGTACCGTGTTCCTACTGTATAACACTTATCTCCACCACGAGTGATATTGATTGCCAGTAGACATCTATTTTCCACATTTGGGATGATTTATTTATATCTGGAGTATTCAGTCAAGGGGCATGCCCCGGTTTTTCTTTTGTTTTATATTTTTCATGTTTCTTTTTTTATTTATTTCATTTCCTCAGTTGTTGACTAAAACTGGTTCCCATCAGGTTCAAATTACATTGTTCTTCAAATTTTCCCAGGTACTGAATGTATATCACGGTTTCTCATATTGTATTCATTCTCAATTCAATTGTTTTAATTTCAGCTTGAGTGATAACAAAAGCCAATTAAATTCTGCAAATGTATACTTTGAGCATACACTCATTTTAGAAAATCAACCAAACCACTGCCTTGCCATCCCAGTTTATACTTTGATTTACTTCATGTCTAATTATATACTTTTCTGAGATGTCTACAGATAATATCAAAAAGATAACAATGATTTCAGCAAACTGTAGAGGACTAGGTGATAAAAACAAAAGAAGGGAAGTTATGAATTTTTATAGGAAAAAGTATTACTCAATTATCTGTTTACAAGATATCCATTTAGCCAAAGATGACATCAATATTATAAGAAATGAATGGGGACTTCAAAGTACCATAGCACCTTTTAGATCTAACGCCAGGGGAGTGGCAATACTCTTTAATAATGATGTAGATCTTACTATCCACAGAATCATCAAAGATGAAAATGGCAATTTCATTATTGTAGACATTACTGTTGAAGACAAAAGATTTACATTAACAAACTTATATGGTCCAAACAATGACGATCCTAACTTCTATATCAAGCTATTTGAAAATATACTTTCTCTTGACAATGATTCATTAGTAATTGTTGGAGATTGGAATCTTGTTTTGGACCCTTCACTTGATTTAGAAAATTACAGACATTTAAATAATCCTAAATCAAGGGGTATTGTCATAGAAAACTTACAAAATTATGACCTTTTTGATGTTTGCAGGGAATTGAACACAAATACTAGAAAATATACATGGTGGAAAAAGAATCCAAGGAAACAAGCTAGACTTGATTTTTTCCTGATTTCTCATGATATGTTTGATATAACTTTGGATTCTGCTATCGTACCAGGCCATAAAACCGACCATTCAGCTATGTCATTAACCCTCTCAAACACTGTTAATCAGAAAAGAGGCAGGGGCTATTGGAAATTTAATACGTCGTTATTGCTTCATCCAGAATACAGTAATTTGGTTAAGAAAATTCTAAAAGAAACAATTTGAAGAATATTCTGAAAATGATAGGTATTTTGGAGCTAGATGTAACAATTTTATTTATAGATTTGCTTAGAAAAAGTTGAAGAATTTTCTAGATTACAAAAGTATTTGGTTGGTCTTTCTTCTTCTTCATACTATAAAATTCTATTTCTAATCTGAATACTTTTTACTTCTTCTTCCTTTATTTGTTCTAATTCCATCTTATGTTTAGAAAGTTCTGACAGCATGGCCTCATCTATATTTTGGAAATCTTTCCTTATATTGTCTTCACAGTCTTTTATTTTCATTTCCAATTCAGTAGTCTTATTATTTTTTTGCTTCTTCAAAAAAGATGCAAAAGAGATAGTTTTGCCTCTAACTTTCATAAGAAAGGTTTCCATGAATAAACTATCTCTTATTTTAAGTTTAACCTTATCACAGTTCTGATCAATATTGTTAATCTCAGATGACAATTTCTTGATGGTATAGATGAGAGACTTTATGCAGCTATAGAAACAATCAATACATTTTATAAGATGTCAGGTCTGAAAATAAATATAGATAAGACTAAAGCTATCTGGATTGGTTCAAAGGCAGGCAGTGACGAAATATTATGTAAAAGTTTGAAAATTGAATGGTATAATGGAGAGTTTGATGATCTGAGAATCAAATTTACCCCAAACCTTGCTGATCTATGAGTGATTAATACAAGAAAAAGACTGGAAGAAATACACAGATTATTAGCAGTATGGAGAAAAAGACATTTGACATTGATAGGAAAAATCACTGTCATAAAAACATTAGCTCTTTCAAAATTAGTACATATTTTCAGTTCATTGCCCAATCCTCCAGATGACTTTATTAAATCCCTTGAAAAGATATTTTTCAAATTCATTTGGAAGTTATAAATGATAAAATAAAAAGAATCACAATGAAAAGATTAAAGACTGAAGGGGGACTGGGTATGGTAGATATAAAAATATTTATTGAAGCTCTAAAATTATCCACTCTAAGGCTCTACTGTAAAAAATTATCCGACAATAATCCTTGTAATATACCTTACAATGATATCTTCAAGTATGGAGCAAATATTGACAAAATACTCAACATTGAAAACCCTTATAGGATGTTTTAAAAGCATGGAACAATTATTGCAAAAAGTTCAATGCTGATTCTGACAATATCGATTACATTCTTGCAGAACCATTATGGCTCAATCATAATTATAAAACCCTTGCCATGTTATTATTCACTGGGCGGATAAGGGCTTATTGACAGTAAAGGATTTATGTGATGAACATGGATTTATGCCATTTGATAAGTTAAAGATAAAATACAAAATAAGAGGGACACTATTAGACTATAACTATCTACTTCACATCTTACCTGATATTTGGAAAATTGTTATTAAAAGGACAAGAATCATTCCTTTCTACACTTTATACATCAATGTTTACCAAAGAAATATGTTAAAGCTCTCCAAACGTTCAAGAATATTCTATGACAAGCTGATTTCTAAAAATGATAAACTTGAAATTTGTACTAAATGGGAAATTATATTCAATGATTGTGAGTTTGATTGGTACAAACTTCTATAGAAATGGATTGAAAGACGTTAAACTTCTTGATTTTCAATACAGATTTTTGCAAAGAGTTATTTATACTAAAAAAGAATTATCGACAATGAACCTGATTGACAATGATTTGTGTAGTTTTTGCAATGATGTTTCTGAGAGCATTTGTCATGTTTATTGGGAATGCTGTGAAAGCATGAAATTCTGGAATGATCTAGAACTCTGGATTAATAACTATTTACCACGAAAAATAAACATCACAAAATATTTGATTTGGTTTGGTACATTGCATAATGATGTATTACTAAATCAAATCATTATCTCTGCCAGAAAACATATCAATTTATGTAATATAAAAAAATCAATTCCAAAATTCAGTAATTATAAAAATGTATTAAAAGAGATATTTTCTGTAGAAAAATTTATTTCAAAGAGAAACAAAGAAATCGAAAAATTCAATCTTAAATGGAATTCGCTCATCCCAATATTCAGCAACTAATTATTATTCTACCATGAATCAAGATAATACTAGATTCTGATTGGTTGTTCAGAAAAATCAGACGGCATCAATTGTGGATTGACGCTCATCTGATTGTAAGGCCGCTTCACCGCGCATTAACAAATCTTATTGTGAGAACTACTTCCGTTTGACCACAATGATGGCGGATCATAACAACAACTCCATGGATTTTGACGCTGACTTTCGAATATTCCACATAGGCAATTGGGAATTTTTGGATTAAAAATGCGTTTGATTTCATTGCGCTTCACTGCGCACCTATAGAACACTGCCGCACTACTTCAGCTTGACCACCAACATGACTAATATCCACACAACAGACGTGATGGAAATGCTGATAAAACATTTATTTAAACTCGAAAAATACAATATATATGACCCCCACCCCCACCCCCAAGTATGAGGGAACCTCACTATCATATTACCTTCTATTATAAAAATATTCAAACTCAATTACAATACACAGCCCCAAACATAAACAAAACAATATCTAACATATAAATCAGAAAGCCTTGTAAAAATACATCCCTATCTATACAAAATATGCAGCAAAACATTAGTAAACATTTACCTACCTGGTAAATGGTATATTTAATTCCGTTTAGAATGGGAAATTTGCAAGATAGATCTAACGGTCTGGCGAAACACCACATTTATGCCACTCATAGACATACTCCATCATATCCCGTTGCATCGTTCACAAAATAATTCTGCTCTCTGCCAGCTACCCCGCAAAGTTGTCACTGTTATGTTCATCTACTTTGAAACACGCTTGGACACAGTCCAGTCCCAAACGATGAAAACAAAGTTCCAAGGAATAGGCTGGTTTTAGTCGTGTGGAGTTGGGATGAAAAAACCCCAAGATCTCGGGTATTACATAATTGCATTGAATAAACAGTAGTTTGATTTCTTTGGACAGAATATACGAACGGCACCTACCGCTCCCTTCACAGACGAGTTCAATTCGCCTCTCGTCCCATGCCGGATTACGCAGTGTCTTCCGCAGAGCGAGGAAGTTCGATTTTAAATGGTTCATGGTAGAATGGAG